TCCATTCAAATGAGATTCCCCCCCAAAAAAGAAAAAAGTGGTTCAGAGAAGTCTACTCTAAAAATTCATGTGGTGAATAAAGGACTAAGCCTGTGTAACCTGGGGCTCTGCCTTTTATATATATGGGATGGCTGAGCCGCTGAGTGAACTGGCTGCAACACAAGCCACTTCTGATTTCATATTCATGACTTCCAAGGGGACAAGAGGGAGGAAAACAAACAAAACAACAAGCAGGGAGAGTATAGCTGATGGAGGCTAGGCCCATACACTAACTGTCACATCCAGAAAGTCAAATCCCGTCTTGCACAGACTGAGGATGAGCGAGGTCATCCTCCGCAGCAAACACTGACTCATCTCACACCCACATGCACGCACACCAAGTCGAAACAGGAACATTTGCCAGCTTTCAGATATCCATTGGCTTTATAGTAGAAATGCTAGTTAAATGTGCACAACCTCAGCTCCTTTTATAAAGACACATGGGGACACCAGCTAGGAGCCTCTGCACGGCAGCGGGGCTTCAGCTCCCTGAGCAAAGTAAAACACATCATGTTTCTAAAAAGTAATGACAGCATGCACAAATGGAGCCTGGAAGCATCGCTGCCTTTTCAGACAAGCCATGTCCTCTAAACACAAGTCCCTTCTCAGGGCACTGGTAGGGACATACGTGAGTTTGGAGCGCCCTCTAGGGGACAGAGCTCTGATTTGAGAGGACACAGTGTGGCCAAGCACACAGACACACACAGACACACATAAAAGCTTATTCTTTGCAAACAAATTAGGAAACAAGTTACTCAACCATGTCTTGTTTTTCTATAAATGACGCTTTCTCAATTATGCAAATGTGTAATTTCCTGCCATGTAATTAAAAGATTCCTTTGTAATTCTATTCACATTCAGTTCACCTGTTTTTTAAGTAGCGTATTTATTTAACATGTGACTTAAGTCAAAAGGCAGGGTTTTACCAGCTATTTAACAAGCTGCAGACATGGCAGACAGGTGTGCATTCATCTCAGCCCCGAGACGAGACAAGCTGCCCACAGGCCACAGCGAAGGAGATATACAGCTGGGAGGTCACACAGGTTGATCTAGGACCACTGCTCATCATTTTTAGAGGTCACACGCTCACTTGGGGCCTGATTAATAAAGAGCTATGGTAATTTAGAAAAGTGGCCTTGCACTTTTTAAAATTCAGCATTCATCGTTGCAGGCCAGTGTCTCACCTCCACATAAAGGAAGAGTTATGAAGACATTAAATGTCATTTTCACTGGGATGTAACTTTGTGTGAACGGGCCAATATTAATCCTTTCAAAACACGTTCAGCCTGCTTCTTGTTGATTGTGGGAATTTAATTCAGCAGAAATAATGCAAACTGCAGTGTTAACCCTTCTTTCACAACCCAACACCCTCAGAGGAATAAAGGCTGCAGTCTTATTCAATCTTCCTGGTAATTAAAGTTTCAATATTAAGATTCAGACACCTCACTGCACAGTTTGACAGATAAACTTAATCTGCTACATATACACTCACTGGCCACTTCATTAGTCCTACATTGTTAGTACCAGGTCAGGCCAACTTTCACCTTCATAGGTGCCTTAATTCTTTGTGGCATAGATTCAACAAGGTGCTGAAACTTTCCTCAGAGATTTTGGTTCATATTAGCATGACGCGTTGCACAGTTGCAGCAGATTTACATCCCAAAGATGCTCTATTGGGTTGAGATCTGGTGACGGTGAAGGTCATTCGTCATCATGTTCAAGAAACCAGTGAGATAATCTGAGCTTGACATGGTCCTGCTGGAAGCAACCATCAGAAGATGTGTACACTGTGGTCACACAGATGGGCGCGGTCAGCAGCAATAACGAGGTGGGCTGTGGCGTTTAAAAGATGCACAGTTGGTACTGTGGAGCCAAAAGTGCACCAAGATAATATCCCTCACACCATTACACCACTATCAGCCTGAGTCATTGCTACAGGGCAGGATGGATCCATGCTTTCATGTTGTTTCTGACACCATCATCTGATTATTGAAGCAGCAGTTGAAACTCATTAGACCAGGCATTTCCAGCTGTCCAGTTTTGGTGAGTCTGTGAGTCTGCTTCACGAGTCCATCTGCTACAAGGTTTGACATGTTGTGCTTTCAAAGACCCTCTTCTGCATACCTCGTTTCTACTGAGTAATTGCTGCCTTCCCATCAGCTCGAAACAGCCTGGCCCTTCTCATCTGACATCAACAAGTCGTTTTCACCCAGAGAACAGCAGCTCACTGGAAATTTCCTTCTTCAGACCATTCTCTGTAAACCCTACAGATGATTTTGCAGGAAACTGCCAGTAGCTCAGCCGTTTCTGAACTACCAATCACCATGTCACATCTAAACTGAAATTACTTTTCCTCCCGATTGTGATGCTGTTTGAAACTTCAGGTCCTCTTGACCTCATCTCCTTCTAATAGCACCAAGCTGCTGATTAAATATTTGAATTAACAAGCAGCCTAATAAAGAGGCCTGTGAGCGTAGATGATCACAGCATCTTCTTTAAACACTCCGATATGCTCATTTGGTTTATTAAACTTTAGGACTAATCCCACAGCTGCACAGAGGAAACCCTGCTTCTGCTTCTCAGAACAGATAAAAAGCTTTTTATTATTCTAACTGGCACAAGTGACTGCAGCGTGGTTTGAACCGGCTTTCCCACGGCATAATCCACGAACTGTGTATGTATCCGGCTGTTTAGAGGAAGTCTATTTGTCTGGCAGGGCCCTCTGGTGGAAAAAATAAAAAACACTAGGTGTGGGAGTCAAATACACGACGAGCCTTTTTTTGCAGACAGTGATTTAATTTGAGAAAAATCACAAATTCATACACCTGCCATTTCCACTAGAAGTTAAATGCAAGGGTTTCAGAACCGAACAGGCTTCAACGTCTGTTATATGTCAAAGAGCCGCAGAACAGAAACATATTGGTATCGTGTCAAATACAGATATATATATGTATTTATATATATTTATAAAAAAAAAAATCTTTCTTACCTTGTGACACTACTTTTAGACTACAGCCACAGTATTCAATATTCAGCGATCTGCATGATATTTCAAAGAACCTGCTAAATTTTACTAACATCTCAAAAATGTGGCTTCTCTTTGACTAGGTATTAGTTACAGAACATGCCTTCATACCCTTCCCCCCAATCTTGCCTTTTACTTCAAGCCATTTAAACAAAAGTACTGGGACTCTGGTACAGCCTCAATGTGGCATCATGCTTCCCTCTTCAAGCCTACTCAAGCTGGAACCGGTCAAAACACAAAAGTCATTGTCAAAGAAACTTTATTATAGGCAGATAAGTGTGGTCTTGTAGTCTTTTTACTATCTATTCAGTGCTTAACTGCAGGGACTTTTTTTCCATTTTTTTGAATGAGCTATGTAATAAGAAAGTCCAATCTTGCTCTTGCAGACGATACTGTTGATGTGCGAAGTGAACCTCATGATGATTTTACACAATATTTCTAAGAGAGTAAGGTTTAAGACAGAGGGTCGAAACAATCCATTACGATTAAGTGCTGTAGGTCTGTCCTTCTGGTGGTTGTGGAAGCTTCATATTTTCTTTGGACATCATTAGACGCCTTAACTCTTGAAGAACAATTTTAATGGTATAAGAATTCTGCCATTTTGCTAATATTGGTATGCTACGTGAATCCACCTGCGAGACAAAAGGGGAGAAACAAAAAAAACAAACAGAATCAGTCATTGTGACAAGACTGCCGACAGTGAGTTATTGCACGGCTCGCATCACAAAGCTGCGAAACAATTTCACAACTCCCGAAATGATAGAGAAGATAGCGAAAGCCATACATAACCTTGACAGATCTGTGATGACACTCACCGTCCCGTTGGAATTATTTATCCCATTCATGCTAATTTTTGTTACAAATCTAACGGTCGGCGCTGTCTCTGGGTATCTAGGTCCACATTCCACTTTCAGACTGTATATCCTGTTCTCGTAATTGGTCTGAGGAAGAAAAGAACAGAATGGCTTTGGTTACGGTGTCTAATATGAATAGCGGGCAGTGTGTTCATTCACGAGATTCCCGTGCTTACTCTCGCTGGTCCGATGATCATGCCTGTCCATCGTGTGAGAGTCATGTCTTCGTCATCCTCCAGGCCCCAGCTGACTGTGCCGTCGCCTTCGCCCTTCTGGCCCTCTTCAAGCTCTTCCAACAAGCGAAAATTGCGTGGGACTTTAACTCCTAAAATAACAGAGGAACGAAGAGAATACGAGGATCGATTTAAAGGTGTTTGCATGGCCAAAAAAGACAAAAACTAGCCATTCTTTAATGGGTTGGAGAGATTATGAAACTCTTGGCTGATAACAGGACTTAAAATAATTTGTCTATTGGTCGATGGCATTCGTTTTCTTGGGCTATTTTACTTAGACAAACACAAAATCCCCATTGAATCTTTCAGCTCTTCATCGTGCCATCTGTGAACAGCAAAAACACATCAGCCAACGCAATAAAGTTGCGTCAAAAGAAGCAACTATGTGGCAACCAGAGGCCACATGAAGTCAATGACATTCAGCAACGTCAGCCAATGACAGGCAAAATAACTGCTGGCAAAGTGAAATGTACATTCCCGAGTTACATCAGCAACTTTTTTTTTTTTAATAAACACTGTCTACCAGCGAGGACGAATGATACTACTCACTGACGTATGACAGTGTGTCAAATAACGTGGAGGGTTACCCAGGCAACTACTGCCTAGAACAAGCCCTAGCGACAGCTACAAAACCACTATAGTGAGACGTCAAGGGACAAATTTTTATAACTCATCCAGCTGGATACTTCAGGTACAGAAACTAATTTCCACTATTTAAAAAAATAAATAAATAAATAGTCGCGCATAAGACAAAATTTAAGGTCATTGCCTAAAAAATGTACTCAGATTTTGAGTCAAAAAGGCAAGAATTTTGAGATATGCGACTCGAAATTTGGAGTTGGATATCCCCGTTTGTCCTCGCTTTTTCAGGAACGCATTAACTCAGGAGTGACGCTATTCCCAAGTCGAACATCAGAGTTCCGAGGTATCCTGAACAATAACCTGAGCGATAGCGGCGTGGCTGCTCTAAATGACACATGTCCAGAGCCAATCAGCGTCGCCAGGCCTCATCCACTACTTCAGAGTCATTAAACTAAAACTCTCCACAGCATTGGTGCCTTTTGCAGTAACGTATTATCTGACTAATATTAAGGCTTGCTGCATGCATAACTGGATCGTTTATCACACATATCCTCAGGAGGCAGTGATCTTAGGACTAGAAATCGCTAACAGGAGAGCAAACAGTAGTGAGGCTCAATGAAGTCATTGTTTTCTATAAGTTTAGCTTTCACGAGATTTGTTACTAAAGAAAAAACTAAAATATTCATAAAGTATAAACAGATGTGTCCATAACAGCTGGTTTAGAGCTGTAATGATCACCTGGTTTTATGGGAAAGCTGCATTTTGTTATGTAACATTTGTCACCTACTGAAAATCCTACCAGTCTGAATTTGCCTTTTGCTGCTTGGATGCAAATCACTTTTGTTGACAAAACAGTTTTAAAATGCCGATCTCAAAACGATTTTCACTGTATGACAATCTACAGGTCAAAAGATCAATTGCCTGACTGAATATATGGCAAATTAATTGGTACAGCACACGAAGCTGAAACAATTAGCTGACCGGCAGGAAAATATTCAGCAGCCACCACTCTGATAATCTGCGGTCTGCTTTTTTCCGTTGCTAGTGTTTCATGAAAATTTGACTTCACACTTCGGATCAAAACATGCAATCCATGTACAAGAGTGAAGCAGTTAAATGTGCGTAAAACAGGACAAGCTGATACAAAAAAATAGCTCGGCAGACCGCGGCTCACAGTATGTTACGTTCACCTTCTGTGCCTCGAATTTGATACCTTGATCAGAAGTCACTCGCTGAAGACATGCGATGCCGCGTTAACACTGAAGCTTGAAATATATCGGCGCTTTGACAGCTGTTTGGAAATGGTCACGAGAGCTGAAGCACATGGGCCTATACTGCTGATTTTTAACACCTGATTCAGAGTAAAATCCATCTTATGACCAGCGTCTTAATATCTGGGCCGCAGAGAACATCGCTCAAAACTCTTCAACCCAATGTTTGGCTGCTCGGGGAGGAGGGTATTCGTAGGGGGGCTGATAAGTTGGCATAAAACACATAGCCTGACAGGCACTCAGCAGACTGTAAATGATGAACTTCTTAGAGGAGCGGTGGCTGCGCATACGTGAAACTACTGGTATTCATAAGTATGATCCTAAAGACAAACCAGCAGAAAGGGAAGTGAAGGGAGTTATTTTCTTCAAAAAAGAAAAAGAAAAAAAAAGACCACATGCCTGGAGCGGAAGGCGAAGAAATGTAATCTTTCATTTCACCTCATGGTCAGACTTCAGAGATAAGTTTTAAAGAAAAAAAAATATCAGCCCTTCATCTGAGACTGCAATGGCTGACTCTTAAAATGTCTCTGCTCCCTAGAAACTGTTGAAAGATTTCAGTCATTGCAGAGACACCTTTGTCAACAGGACTGTCTGTAATAGGGCTGTGCGATATGACCAAAATCTCATATCCTGATACAAGACATCTATCATCCCGATAACAATATAAATCACACAAATGTAACATTTTCTGTAAATTCTGTGAATCTCGGGCAGCTCGACTTGCGTGAAGTGTTTCCAGCTGGGTGTCGCGTACCTGGAGTCGAATGTTTTAACCGATGCATATTATACATTTTTAGACATAAGTTGTAACGGCCGCTGTTTTCTTTGTGAGTATTTATTACACGGTGTGCTGCGGGGAAAAGCCTGTTCTAACGTCTGAGTCTAAGGTTTATTTTTTAGCACCCGATGGCTCTTTTTCGCTTCTCATCCATAAATACTCTGCATACTCTTTCATGTGATTCAGTTTATTTTGAAAAGTCTCAACAGGATCTTGAGCTTTATTGTGAAAGGTTTATGTGGAAAATAAGTAAGCCACACGCAGGGATTTTACCGTCGTTGTTGCTAACGACAACGCATAAAACAGGCGCTTGTCCGTTTGTAGTGTGGTTATATTAAATATAAGAGAAAGAAAGAACTTTAAGAAATTAATATAGCCACTACAGTGACCATCAAACCGGTGAAAAAAATATTGCCGTAAACAGTTTATTTTGCGACACCACGAAACAAACGATAGCATAAAATGAAACGATTGACGTTTTTATATCGTCATCCGATATATATTGTTATATCGAACAGCCCTAGTCTGTAATAGCAACATTATAACTGATTGAGAAAATAAATGACAAGTTAATTGACTAATAACGGAGTTGAAGATCGTCAAAAGATGCTCAGAAATTCTAATGTAAGACGAGGAAAAAAGCAAGACTTTACATTACATTTATATTCACTGTGAATGGCTTTTTTTGTGCAATTTGTTTTATTAAACAAAAATTATTTATACCTTTCTGTAAATACTTAGCTAATTACAAAGTTTTAGCTCTGGGGGAAAAAAAAAATTCCCAATGGGAAATTTGTTGTTTGCGTTTTCTGGTAATGGTCTGTTTTTCAAATGGAAGATGAGCCACTAAGTGCAAGGTTTTGGTCATAAAACATACTTTGTTTGTTTGTTTGCAAAGATTCAGCAATTAAAAATGTAAAATACTGATTTATCAGTCAATATTATCTACATATACACACACCAGGGTAAAGTTTAAGTGAAAGAAAGATTAAGTAATAGAGCACAGGAGCGATCTTGAAATGTCAGCTGTGCTAAAAACAGTCAAGAGAAGCAAAAGAAGAGGCTCTAAACCAGTTACCAGCATTTTTGTCTGTATTGCCAATTAAAGATTATTCATTAACACATAGGTACGGACACAAATGCGACTGGTTAATATCAGCAGACTGATTCATCAGCTGGTCTCCACAAGAGCACGAGCCGAGTTGGTGACTGTTGGTCTATCATGTCAGGTTGGTGCAAAGGCCACAGAATAAAGGATCGGCTTAGTAATGAGTGTGTTCGCCACATCCATCACTGTCCAAACTGAATGCTAGTTTTGTTGCCCTCACCTGTCTGACAAATATTATCAGTTGCAGTCACGGTTAAAGGTAGTGCTGCAATTCAAATTAAGAACTCGACTGGAAGACATCTAAACAGCTCCCCACATGTGTGTCGTTAATGGGGCAACTTAAATCTTTCTCTACTTCGCTCCCTTTTGCCGTTTCGTCTCCGTTATGGTTGCTTAAGATCTGCACAAAAATAAAAGCCGTTTGCTGCGACTTGCTATTATTCATTTGTTTTGTCGTTCAGGGCGTTTATTTTGCAAGTTTGAATAGCCACGCTTCCTGTTGGAGCGCTGAAGGCAAGCACGGGCCCCGACTACTTGCTGAAACAAAGCGTGCCCACTACAGCGGTTGTAGTTAATCGA